TAGCAATTACATAGCCAAACTCAGAAGAAAATCCCCAAAATAAAAAAAAAAAGGTCCTTAAAAGTCAGTGCTGAGAACAATACCAAGACAATCTGAATAATCTAATAATAATCTAATAATAACAAGACAATCTGAATCACTGGAGACTACCACAGGATACCTGATCCAGGTAGCTGTCCAATCTGTGAACAAGAGACCAGACAAACTGAGAAACTGAGTGTACTGAAACAAAGAAAGAGCAAAGCGGGTTGCCACCTGCTTAGAACTGGATCAGGGAAGAACGCCACAAGAAATTGTGCACTCCTCAATGTCAAAGAGACGCATGGAGGTTGAGTCCAACTTCATAATTCTGCATGAGATGCACCAAGAAATTCATACCAGATTCTTGCAGGGACTAGACACTGTTTTTAGTGGTTAGTCTATGACAGTGGATCAAAGATATCAAAATCCTTAGTCCTACAGAGGTTCCTTTCCAGTGGGAACAGCAATAATTTGCAAACGAAGACTGAAGATACACATGAGATGTAAAACTAGGTGGATGGAATTACACCAATTCAGGACAAATGCAACTACTGCAGAAATAATAGCAACCACTGAAAACCAGTTCACAGGAGCGAATGTTTGGTGCAGTGGTTAAGGCATGCATGGGACATTCAGATCCATAGCACAGTAAAGAGCTCAAGTTCCAGCTCAACTCTCCATTCCAGCTTTCTGTCAAGGTGCATCTTGGAAGGCAAACATGATGATTCTAGTTGCTCACTCCCTACAACCCACACAAGAGACCCAGCTGAATTCCCAGCTCTTGGCTTTGACTGGCAAAATCCTGCCTCTTATGGGCATGTGAGGAGAGAACCAGTGGATAGAAAATCTCAAGCATTTTGCTTTTGAAAATTTATTAAAAAAAATAAAAATATAATGCTGCCATAGAAATTTGCATAATCAACAAGCAAAATCTGACCATGTGATCTGACAATAAAAATTTTAAATACAGCAAAAACAGATAATATTGGAAGTATACATACATTACCAAAACTGAAAGGATAACAGTGAAAAAACTTATAGTCACTAAAGGCAATAAGTTCATCCTTAAGAAAATGCTAAGTATGATGGTGCTGATGCTAGGCTTTATCGTTTCTTTCACCAAACCTTCAAGAATCAGATTATTTGTATCTTATACAAACTATTTTTAAGAGAGACAACTTAGAAAGGTTACTGGATGTGAGGTAAGTACACAAAAGTCAATCATACCACATTAACCAGTCAAAATGAATAAGATATTGAATTGAAAGAACAAGAGAATCCAATCCACAACCACAAGCAAGGACAAAGAATATGGGAACATTTTAGACAAAAAGATTCTGAACTATAGAAGATAGTGGAATAATATGAGATTGGTACAGGGATAGACAGAGAAAGTAATCAGTTAATATGAGCAGGATGGGCGTGGGCTCCCTTTTGGAAGAAGGGGGCAGTGAAGGGTTCTTGAGGAAGGGGATAGGATCCAGCCTGATGCCATCCAACAAGCTGTGAATATCAGCCATGTGCTACCCATTATGCTAAGAAATGGGGATGAGCAATGATCCACAAGACAAAAATGGGATTTAGAGGTTTAACAATTTCCATAAAAGACCCTCTAGGACAGGCACTTCTGCTCCTACAATTCTACAGTTCACTCCTCTTTGATGTTACACGTCAGGAAGGTTAATCAAAGAATTTAAGTGGCGACCTATGGTTGATATCATATACACCCTTGTGCTTAGTACTTTCTTGTTGCGTTGCATTTTATAGTTCTTGTTAACATTGACTTGGTTTTGTGCTTAAAGGAATGGGGTAAAATCTCTAAGGTTCCATCCTTTGCTGACCAGAAAAACATTTACATACACAGCTACTCTGAAAAAATCTTTATCCATATGACTTTAAACTTCTTTTCTTTAAGGGGTTGAGACACACTTTTTTTTTTAAGTGAAAGTAGAGTTAAAAACATGTAAACACACTCTCATACCACCAAACGTCTTGGGCTTCATAAGCTATTTCCCATGTGATAGCTTTTTGGGGATCAGTGAACACATTACTGCAAGCAATATTCATGGTTTTAACAAAAAGTTTTAAGCAACGTGATGCATTTGTTGAAGTCATACAGACATGAAAGCATCTAAAATAACCTGGCAATCTGTGTAGTAAATGCTATAAATTCCATAAAGAAATCTTCAAATTAGTGTTACAAGCAACAAACTCCCAAAAAGAACTTTCACACATTCATAAAGCAAAAACTGGTTTTTTAAAATCTCCCATAACATGATTCCCTGCCCTTGTGGTATGATATGAAATGCAATGAACTGCCTTAGATTTATCAAATAAATCACTACTATCAAAACCCTACCACCTCCAATTAAAAAATAAACATACTGCACTCTCACAAGATGGTAAGAAAGACCAATAATAGAACCCGGAGTGTTGATAACAAGTGACACTTGAGAGCATTGGAACTCTTCACCTGCCTGGACATTCAGACAGCGCCAAGCATGTAAGAAGTCAGGTGCAGTGCTTAAGGTCACCAAAACTTTCCAGAACTACCCAGAAGGATGGCCCTGATAGAAATACTGGTGAGAGAAAACAGTCATGAAGTGTGGATATAACTATGCACAAAAAGCATTAAATAAAGGGTTCTAAGACTGTGGTTTTAAAAGCCAACCTATGCTGCAGGATTTGAAAGACCCTGTAATACAGCTAAGCCTCAGCTTCTCAGAGGCAAGATAATTGGGGCTGATAAGATCATCTTTAAGATCCTTCTCAGTAACAAAGCCTTTTACTCGGAGCAATGCATGTTTATTTTTTAATATATAATATATTCACTTAGAGTAAAGGGGAGAAAAATGAGCAATTTAAAAAGTGTTCTAAGTTTCTTCTTCTGCCTTACTCGCTCTACTTCCTTACAGGAAGAATCATTCTTGTTCATTTACTACGCCATGTTCCTGAAATTCCTTGCAAAAATATGACCAATCACACACTCTTATGTACCTTACCTCTAATAATAAAAATAATAAAAAGATATACCACACCTACTGTTCTCTACTATTTAGCATATTTTGGAGAGCTTCCAAGTCAGTTTATAGAGCTCCCCCACTCTTTCTTTTCAACAGTTGTACAGTTTGCAATAGATGGATATTGAAATCAACAGATGGAACCCAATCCAATTCCTTTAGAGTTTTTTTAGCCCTCTGCAGTTATAAATAACACTGCAGAAAGACACAAATTTTTATGCATGTTGCATGCATATGCCTTTAGGAGAAATTTCCAGAAGCAGAATTGCTGAGTCAAGGGCTACTGTATCTGTGATTTTACTAAAAATGCCCTCTACCGAGTTTTTCCCATCTTCAATCTCATCAGGGGAATCTGAAAATCTTTGCTCCTCCACACTTAACAATATTAATTTCTTCTTTCCTTCTCTGAATATCTGCTTCAACTACTAAATATGTGGCATTTCAAAATGATTTTAATTGGTAATTCACTTATTACAATGAACTTACATAATAGTTACTGCATTGATTTGTGTACTGCTCTGTTCATATACCTTGTGCATTTTTCTGTAAGTTCCTGGTCATCTATTTTTCTGGTATATATCAGTTAAAACTCATTAATTTCAAGAAAATAATTCTGTGGCAATTGGATAACCCCTGCAGATTACCAGTGGAACTTCAACTAATAACATTTATTACTTTTAGGAAGCTTTATGATTCTAACAAGAATCATCATGGAGATTTCTCTTATTGGAGGATTCTAAGCAGCGTCACATCACATCCACAGGTGTTTCCATTGGAACAGTCTTGAAAAGTAAAGCAGAATGGCTTAGGTCAGAGTGCTAAGGAGTAACAAACACCTAGGGCTTAGTAACCACATCCTCCCCACTGTGATCAAACACAGACAAAGGAAGAGGGCCTGCAACTACATCTCCTCACAGCATGATTGTGAGAACTGATTTAGTTAGACACTTGCAACAGAGTATGTGAAAGTTCACCTTATTGTCATTAGGTGCATGCCATGACTTCAAGCACAAGAATCAACAGCAGTGGACATGAAAATAGTCTAATGCACCTGCCACCAGAGATGAACATGGAGGAAAGATGGAGATAAAGGCCCAAGGGAGTACAGCTGGGTACAGATGAGCTAGACATCCTACAGCCAAGTAATGCATTCAGTGTAAGACAGCCACCAGGAAAACAGGAATTTAACCTGTGGGTATTAAATTGCTCTTTCAACAAGGCTAACACCATAAGTAACTAAATCTCAACTGGAAAGCTTAATGCAAAACTCCTTATTATTTCAGGTGTCTAGTAACACCCTCCTAACATTATTTCACCTTTCATTTTTCTGCTCTCCTTGCTAAATAAACCTTACTCTTAGAGGTGACGAAAAAAGATCACTAAATTGTAAGTACAGCAGTTACACAATTTATTTTAGTGCAACATAACAACATATTGTTATATATCTAAGAGTAACTGGACTGTGGAGAAAATATGATTTATTTATGGAGGAAAACAATCTTGAAACCTAAAGCAATATATCAACAGCACTTTGTTGCAATTTTAAAGCCATTTAGACTCAACCAATTAATAACACTGCAACTCTGTCACTACACAAAAGCAGCAGAGTTTCCTGCCAATAATGAAATAACTGATGAGGAAACTAAGGTTGACAAAGTGAGTTGAGACATCCAAGGTTATATACTTCACTGGGGGATAGAGCTAGACTCGATTCCAATGTCAAGCTAAGAAGGTGACTATACTACTATCACATCTGAATTGTTTACAACATAAGATCCTCAGTTTGACAAATGTCCCCTAATCTTAGGTACTCTTGCAGGGTAAGGAGAGGAAGGGAGAAAGTTAATTATTTTCAGAACTATACCTATGAACAATATTGAACCCATTTTAAAAATCTGAAAAATGTATTTAAAACATCTCCTGATTCATCTAAGTCCAACCAACTTTCACAGTACAAACCTTTGGGAGGAGTGAGGTTGACTCCATTTTTAAGGCACCATTGTACTGGCAAAATCCCCAAAGAATCCGCATGGCACAACATTGAGAGCTTACTAGGTTCCGGTCTTAGATCATCAATAGTTACTTGAAAAAAATGATTGTTAAAAACCTAAAAGAAAAAAAAACAGAGCTAAGCATTAATTCTACTAGTATGAAATATTAGCACGACTTATACAGACAATTGATACATTTCATCAAAATGATCTAACACAACTGACACAACATGGCTGCAGAATGTTTGCCACTGTGGTCAATTTACTGGAAAAGGTAAATGAATAATTAGAAGAGAAAGAAGTTTTAAAAAATCAAAGATGTAGAGAAGTAAATCAATAACCACAGCTTGAAGAAAAGCCAACTGACAAAGATAGACAGACAAGCCCCAGCCTAGATAAAAGCCAAGATGTACAGTGACTGGTCAAAATCATTTACTGGTATCCACTGCAAGCATCGAACTCCACAGATAAGATCATTTCAGATCCTCCAAGATCTGGCTTGGAAGATGCTTACCTCTTCCTACAGCATATCCCTCAGACACTCCATTCTGCCCAAGAGGAAATCATTCATACCAAGCATACCGTTACTCAGTGTTTGACAGACAACATCTGATTCCACTGCCACTTTATCAAAAGATCGCATTTTTCAAAATGTGTTCTAGTTGGAATAAAGCACCTTACTCCATGTTCTCAAAGCACCAGACTCAAAACTATCAAAATTCTCATGCTTTCCCATGAACTGATAACACAGATGCCTCCCGCAACAAATAGTAAGTACTTCGAGGACAGTGGCTTCTTTTGTATGCAACAAAGTCTTCCCAAATACTCAGAAAAAGACTTTATATAGAAACTGGATAAATATCAAATGTACTTAAGAAAAAAAATCAATGAAGAAATAAGAGCAGGAAAAAAAAAAGACTCAATTTAAGGGGGAAAAACGTAACAAAATCAAATGGAACACAACACTGAAGAGAATGATGGATTTTAGAAACCTACTAGGTATAACAAATCTGAAAGAAAAAGACAACTTTCCCATTTCCTCAGACTTAAACCAGTCTTCCTTAGGAAACCCCATAACCTACAAAACTATGATCCCTAGCTCCTTCATCCACAACGAAGCACCTTCGTTCTAAGCCAAGGAGTAGAAAGGTACTTCTATTCTCTATGTTGATTCCAGTCTGGGAGCTTTTGCCTTTGAAAGTCAACTTCAGAAACCAAAGGGTCAAATACGGCCTTTACAAGGAGGCCATCCTTCACAGCCATATAGAAAAATCCTTTCCTTCCTCCAACCTAGTGTTCGATTACCCTTGTCGTTGTATTTGTCTGCTTAGCACTTACAATGTCACACGCAAAATGGTCATGTCCCCTCAGTTAAAATGCATGCTCTAATATTGAGTAAGGACTTTCTCTGTGTTCTCAGGGTCGAGAATCAAGGTTGAATGCTCCAGAGATATTTGCTACATTGTTGTAACCTATTCTGTCAGGCATACAGAGGCACAGAGACACGCACAGATAAGTACACAAAAAGAATGTAATACTGGCAGGTGGCATCCTCCCTAAGCACCTCAGGACCCTGGGAACATGAGCTGAGTGGAATCTCTAAAACTCATTAAAATATACATTAATTTGGACACACTTGAGAAGAAAACTTTAAGAAGCTCATTAAATCCTCCAGGGTTCCTGTTCCTAAATGATACAGAACCCCCAGCTCAGAGACAGGAATCCAAAAGCAGGTAACCACGTAATCCAAGACAGCACGGCTTCTTAGAGTTGGCAGACACAGAAATAGAACCCAAAACATCTCATTCCTTAGTCAATCATTAAAATAACACAATGCATATTAAATGCATGGATGATGTCATCATCATTACTGTCATATGTCTACATCTCATTCCATTTTGGAATAACAAAGATATAATCTTGCTATACAACTTAAGTTTACTCATTTAACACTAGATTCACAATATGCTTGTCTACATTCTTACCTGCTTCCTTTCATTATCTTTTTATTTATGTCTTGAATAGTTGTATCACAAAGAAAAACCTCAAAGGGAGAAAGATATGATCTTCCTTGTGATGTACAATGACAGCACAGTTTGCTATCTCATTCTCAAACACACTACTCTAAAATACTTTTCAAGGTTTGGAGAAATATTTTCAATCATAAATATCTGCCACAATAAGAATCATGTGATGTTTCATTACACGAAAATGAGTTGTAACTTGGAGAGGTACTTACCTAGGTTCAATGAGATACAAGTACACATTTCCAATAGCATCATTATACCACACAGTCAGTAAGAGAAAAGTATATATGAAACAGAATAATTTATATACCTTATGCTTTGTAAAAAGGAAAAAGTACATTGAAAAGAAGACAAAAGCATGTTTCTGTAACCATTTTTCATACCCTGTAAGACATCACTACTTCATTTTTCAAATTTTTTCCACTCATGAAATTTTAAATGACAAGAAGATTAAAACATTAGACACTGCATGAACAGTTGCCATCAGAAAAACAAAGTAAAATGAAATTGACTTTTAAATATTTAATTAAATTCTCCTACTAAAATTCACAAAAGGTCAATAACCAAAATATATGTAGGCTCATAATACTAGATTTTCAGGCTTCTCCCACCATTTATAAGATATTTAAAATAGAAACAAGCAATTTTGATTTTTACCATAAGTGAGTTCACTGAGACTTCTTTTATGGGGAAAGGATATTATAACCCTATAAAATATTATTGGATCATCCAGAAAATGTCCGTACTTGAATAGGTAATTTTATTCTGACTGGCAAGCTAAGGTACATGAGTTTCTCCTTACTCTTCAAAAGTAGATGAGAAAACGAATATGGAACTGATAATTCACAGAAAACAGAATATGATTCTCACTATTTTCAGGAATTTTCAAAAAGAGATGCTAATCACTACAACCTGTGCAGGAGGAACAAGCCATTCTTACAACGATTCAGCATTTCCATAAGATAAGGAAAATTCACCCTCTCCATTAGCAGAGGTGGCATCTAGTTAAGACTCACCCTTAAAGCTATCCAGGACTAAAAACAGAACTCAAAACAGTGCTGGAGAGAGCCATGTTCCTATGCCTTACTTTGCATTGGCTATGAGTCCTTGCAGGAACACATGTCATCTGCCCTCACTGCGAGGGTCATAGAAAATGTGCAATGGAAAGAAAACCCACCTTGGTCACTGATGCAGGACAGATATGAAAGGGCTCACTTATATTCACAGTTTCTAGCTTCATCCCAACTGTGAAGAAATGGCTTCTCAAATCTGCATGATCCTGAAAGGAGGAAGAGAATAATAATAAAGGTGATGTTGCTCTGAATTAACTTGGTAACTGTCCTTGAGTATTTTCTTCAGCAACGGATGGAAATTGTTAACCCTCCCCCCCCTTTAAATTTCTAATTATTGTAAAATACTGCAGATGTAATTATTTTCTGCAGGCTAAATTGCTTTTCCAAGGAAGCAGCAACCAGCCTTTGTGCCCATGCTTACATCTGCACTACGCAAAAAGATTCCAATTATATTGCTTTGATCTTCCCAGATGCTATCAACAGAGACACAGTGGAGAAACGGAGCTGGTCAGTTATTTTCCAAACAGCAGGGCTGTTGTTTAAGAAACAGTGACCCCCTGCTGCTGGAATTACAACACAGGGCTTCTGTGTGTACCCTCTGGGTGACTGTCTCTCCACAGCCCTCAGTGTCTGAGAGTCTATGGCTTACCAGCCAAGGCAGTGAATCCATGATCTAAGAAAGTGTGCACATAAGAATCCAGAACCTCTCTCAAGGCAATCAGAACCCAACTCTTGCTGCATCAAGAGAAACACCCCATTCTGAATTCACACCTTGCAGGTGGATAACTTGGACTTTCCTGCCTCTTCAGGAAAATAAATGTCAATAAGCATGTTATCTCAACAACAGTAGATGAGTTTGGCTGGTCTTGGGATCCCAGAACTGATCTTGCTCAAATGGAGGTGACCCCATAACTCCCAGTCTGTATCAACAGTAGTGGATCAATAAACGGATTTGAAGTCTATTCCCGCAAAAGTGATAGCTGCAAATCAACTTTAGTCTTTCCAAAGGCATCAACTGAGTGTGAAGGATGCAGAAAAAAATTACACACATACAGAGACGAAATACTTTGCTTTCTCTGCAAATCTGAGGAGTTTTAATCATTTCCATGATGATATTCTGTATCCAACTCTGACGGTAATGCAGAGCTGTGTCTGCTCACACAACCCTCAATCCCAGAGCTGGTCACATCAGTGTCCAATACAAGACTCAAAACAAGGAACTCTCAAGAAAACTCTGTCACACCACTGCTGTCACACCACACCTCCAAGCCACAAGGACTCTTCCAATGTTCACATCCGCAGTGTTGTACGACACATGCTGGGTTTGAGTGGAGCAAACAATGTCACATCCTAGGAAGGAACGTATCAAAGGGACAGGACCATTCTCAATCTTCATAAATTCCTGAAGAACTTACAATCAACACTTTATAAAAATTATATGCACAAGGAAATATTCTTGGGTGAAAGACATGACTTTGATGGTTCATGTTGCAGCCTGTATAAATTCCGTAAGAACTTACCATCAACACTTTATAAAAATTATAGGCATAAACAAAAACACAAGGAAATATCTTGAGGTGCAAGTGATGACTTTCTTTGTTCATACCACATTTTGCATAGATTCTGTAAGAACTCACCATCAACACTTCATAAAAAATTACATGCCTAAAGAAAAGCACAGGCAAACTCTTAGGTGTAGGTGATGATTTCCATTGTTTATGCTGTACATAGAGCATTTACTTTTAAATTTGGCGGGGGGAGGTGAGTCAGGAAAAAAAAATAAAATGCAATAGCACAGAAAGCTAAGGCATATTAACACATACCAACCAGCATTCCAATGCTATAATCCACAAATGTGATGAGAGAAAAACTAAACCAGAAATGACTAATTGACATTTATATTAATTAATGCTTTTGTCAGCAACCAAAGCCTCTTGTATCTCTCAGTGGGAAGAAAGTCACATTTGTGGATTTTGCAGGTAAATATATTCCTCCTTTTAAAGCACAAAATCCTTTAACATTTGAAAATGGGAATTACTTTTAAATTATGAGATTATAAACACCCTAAATGTATTCAATAAGTCTAAGCCCTCATTATTAAGGTATTTGGTAATATGGAAATGGTTCGGGAACCAATGACATATTTGTAATCATCATCAATAGCCTGGTTGAATGAAAGCATTACCCAGAATTTTTTTTCTCTACTATCCTTCCATACTACAGCATTCCCTCTCACCAACCATGGATGAAAGGCCAAAGAGTTTTGAGATCTGGCTCAGTGACCAAAGGAAATGGGCCATGGGCCACTTCTCCCTCGCTGCCTGCACTGCTACAACTCTCAGAGAAATGTGTATCCCTCATAATTTACCTCTCCTTGTGTGCTGGAGGTATGACCTGAAAATAATCTGAGCCTCTGGGCTACCTCCCGTCTTCATCACCTCCCTTGTAGTCCATGTGCCCAATTTGTTGCATAAGCAATTGCTCTGTTCATCCCTTTCTGAGCACAGCCAGCTGTCCAAACAGGCTTGACACACAGCCGCAGACCTTTTCCTTGACTTTGACTACTAACTGAGTGAAATCCACATCCACTCTATATCCTGTTTTTCAAGGTCTACTGCCAAGACTCTCTACCAGACATGCTGAACACGCTGTGGCTCCATGAGCTCTATACTACAAGCTGTCCTTCATCTGTTGCTTTGTGAGTCAGAGTTGCCAAGAAGCCAACAGGACATTCAGTGAATTGCAGGTTTTAATGTAGTTCTGACTTCAAAGTGTTTGAGGTTAGAGATGTTCACCTTGTAGTATTGATACAATTATTCCCAAGCCTATTTTCAAGCATGTTAGAGGAAGGATATTCAACCTGCACCAAGTTTTCATTGTGTGAGAAATCTTTATTTGGTCCTTGTTTCTGGTTCCTGGCACCTGGTTCCTAAATCACGTGTAATTCTTTGGATGATAGAAGCATCTTTTATTCTAATGAGGTCATTCGTGGGAAACACCTAGATAGCTTCAGGATGAGGGCAGATGACAAACAATGAGCCAAGATGTGACAATTACAATGGTCAGTTCTCCCCCAGCTCCCAGAATATGGAGAGGAAAGAGAAGCTGGAGATGAAGTTAAATATCAATACCCAATGATTCAATTAATTATGCCTGTATAGTCAAGCCACTTTAACCATGGAGGAGAATTTCCCATTTAGTCAACATGCTCTCAAGGGTAGTGTACCCCAAATCCATGGGAACAGAAATTCCAATGTCTAAAACTTTTCTTGGCTTTATCGTGTATACCTCTTACATTTGGCTGCTCATCTGTATCTTTGTAAAATTTTTTAGGATAAAGCAGTAGCTATAAGTAAACCATTTTCCTTCAGTTCTGTGAGCCAATTACAAAGCTCAAAGAAGAAGTGATGAAAAGCCTGAATTATAATCATGAGAAGGGAGAAAGGGAAATCCCCAAGGCTATGGAATTATATCATTTTTAAAATTATAATAGCAAAAGGTATCGAAAAATAACAGTGGAAAGTGGGGGCTGGTGTTGTGATGCACAGGTTTAAGCTGCCACTTGCGACACTGGCAGCCCATATTGGAGCTGCAGTTCCAAGTACTGCCAGCTCCATCCAGTGTTCTTTTACTGTGCCTGGGAAAGTAGCGGGGGATAGTTCAAATGCTTGGGACCAGGGCACCCATTGGGGAGACTCACATGGAGTCCCTGAATTTGTCCTGGTCAAATCCTAGTTGTTACAGATATTTGGGGAATAAACCAGCAGATGGGTGATCTCTTTCTGTCTTTATCCCTTTCTCTGTCATCTTGATTCTCAAGTACATAAATAAACATTTTAGAAACGACAAGACGTATACATGGCCAAGCATTTTTCTTTGGTTTAGAAAATAGGGGAAGTCTTTTAGGACTCCATACTTAACTGCTGGGGTCTGTGATACCCAGGGTGTAATTTGTGTCAGAACTAAACTGAACCATAGGACAATGATGGTGTTCAAAGTCAGGGAATGGAAAAGATTCATACAGCACCCTCAGAAATATTTGGGAGGGAGGGGAGAGAGAGAAGAGGAAGCAGTTGACAGAAAAACTTCTTACTTATAGAAACAGATCTGACTTTGTTTCAAACTATGCAAAACCCCCAAGACTACTCATTTAATATACTAAAAAAAAAAAAAAAAAAGCAAGTCGAGCATTTGAAGAGGTGGTAGCATTCAAACAAGCACAGATACGCTATATCTGTATAACTGTATACCATCCTATTCAATTTGAACTTAAAATCTTAGAAATGAGTCTTGAAATTGTAAAAGGCATTTATCTTCCAGTGCTAATTTCTACTTTCTTCAGATTACTTTTTAATCTTCATTTTAAAAAGCATTTTTCTCTAACCATGTAGATACCTCCATCTGTTTCCAGGGTAAATGAACCTCGTAGGGATTTCAGATATAAGAGCAAAAATGTTTAATGATCAAGGGTTTGACTAAGACTGCTACTTTAATGTTTATGTTATTCATGAGCAATGATGTCAAGAACTTTTTACTATAAGAGCAGGACAATATTTTCCAATGGAGATTGTAGCTGGAGCCTCAGATCTCGGAAGACTCTGAGACACATGGAAAATAGCCATGTTGTCTGTGCGTCACTTTCCAGCAAATGCCAAACTCACTTGTTTACATTAAATGGTTCATCCAAGAAAGACCTCCATAAATATTTATTCCATTAAACTGAAGAAGAAAACAAAACTAGACACTTTCTTGACATTCATTCCAATTCTGTGTTCCCTGATTCATTCAAGAAACTTTCATTAGAAACTACAGAGATATTGTACAGTAGGATTCCAGGAGCTGCATGAAATACATGCGAATATCTACATTTCTCAAGGGAAAGAATGGAAAGACAAGAAACATGGCCCAAATAAATTTCTGAATGAATTCTCTTACTTCTAATATAGAGTAAACTATCAGTTTGATCATGGCAGTCAGACATCTGATAGGAGTAGATCTTACTTTCAATATTAAGTATATAAGAGTGATAAACAGAAGATTCTGGAAAGGGGGCACAGTAAACCCAGTAAGGAAGGCTGGGCCTTAAATGCTGATTGGAGGCATCTGAGTATGATCTAAGGACAAAAGAAGATATCTAACAATACTAAGAAAAGTCAAGTTTTTAAGACAATGCAAGACTTCAACACCCACAAATTCCAAACAAGAC